GCATTTTTTACAGATTCAAGTTTTTAAAAACCAATTTTGATTTGTGGCAAAAGAAAATAAGCAATCAGCGTTCATAAAACAAATATAAAATTTATTTTATTGGTTTTTTAATTTAAAATATTTTATTCAAAAATTTCTCAACTTGCCACCTTTCGTCATTATTGAGAATAAACATGAAAAGTCAATGATGACAAATAACATGTGTGAATAAATTAACGCTTTGATAGACATTACTGTCTTTTTCAACTACAACATAATCTGCCACTGGGACCAAGAAAATAAATTCTTATTAATTTAGAGCATAATTCATTTTAAGATTACAGATACGAATTTCTTAAAAGTTTGCAAACATTCTTGGATATTTTAAATCTTTTTTTGCAGTTTTTACTTGCGTATATGCATACTTTACTATCTATTTTAATTAACATAAAACTATGTAGTTTTTATATAACAAGTAACCTAACATCATTATTGTGTACATAGCTGCGGGATACAAAGTAAAATAAAGATCAAACATTGAAAATATGTTTTGAGCATTCCCATGTAATATCCTAGCCTGCTCTCTTAGCTTTATTTACCATTTTATTTTTTTATTTTTTAGCTAAAATAAAAATGAAATTATTTTGAAACTTTAAATAAGATTAAGTTAAAAATTAGTTTTTACTTATACCATGTAAATAAAAGGCAAAAATGAACAAAACTGATTTTAAAAATGCCGTATTTAATCTAAATAAATATTTATCATAAAGAACTCTAATCATAAAGAAGTCGAATTTATCATAAAGCACTCTAATGGTTTATTTTAAAACAAAAGAAGAAGAAAATGATTGTCAAAAAAATCAATTCTTCTCATTATTGTATTTATTAGGCTAAAAAAATTCCTAATTCTATAAATATTTGTTTTTTACCTATTTTGGTTATATAAAACCAAAGACCGAGGTAGCTTTGTGTGCTTAAGAAATCTCATATAAGAAAATTAATTCATAAGCACTGATCATGTTTAAACCTGATAATGCGAATAAATCTAGATATTTTAAAACATTAAGTAAATAGGAATTACAAGTTAAATTCTGACATGTAATGTTTATTGATTTTAAAAACATCTAAAATATTTTGACGTGTTTTTATGTTATTTTGTCGTATAGTATCCGAACGATAGTCATGTTCTCACCAGAAAATAATTTTATATTCATTAAACAAGCTAGATTAACAAGAAAAATAAACATATTTACAGATGGATCCAAGAAGGCTGATGGAACGGGTGCTGCAATTGTACAATATGAAGATGGCATAATTACATCGGCCACACAATTGAAACTTAGTTCTTACAACACTGTATTCCAGGCTGAAGCAATAGCATTAAAGGAAGCCATCACTCACGCCATAAAACAAAAAATCGCAAGCCAAACTACAATATGCTCAGACAGCCTTTCAACAATAATAGCACTTAAGAATTATAATACCACTCATCAGATTATACAAGACATCCAAAATCTACTTAATAATACTAATGGCCTTATAGTCTCTTGGATTAAAGCACATAATAACAACGATGGAAACGAACAAGCTGATAATTTAGCTAAAGAGGCAATTAATACGGGTCAATTTTTCAACATCAAAGTTCCATACTCATTCATTAAGCTTAGACTTAGACTTAGAGGTTGGCAGCTCTGACGAGCAGGGCACATCGACCAGAGGTCTATTGTACCCAAACCCTAAAATCATGATTAGCATGAAAGCCCTTTGGCTGAAATAAAATTCAGCAAGCACCTTACAGGAACATCTTGCAGTTCCCAGGCATTGACGATATGCTGCCCTAAATGCTCAAATCTTTGAGCAGAATAGACCTCACAATCACAGAGTATGTGTCGTGATGTCTCTTCTTCTAGATGACATCCCCGACAAAGAGAATTGGATTCTATTCCCATAATGTTTAGGTGTCTCCTGAGGATACAGTGACCAGTAAGAAGACCTATGATCTTCCTTATACTGTTTCTATTAAGCTTTAAGAGCTCCTTTTGACGTACACTAGGACAGTCTCGATTCAGCTCCTTAGCTTGTCTCTGACCGTCAGCAGCGCGCCACTGCTCATGGGCGATCTTGCCGTAGAGCTTGAATATGGTTGCCCTAAATGAGGAGGGAGAAATTCCCAGCGCAGGTTCAGGGCCCCAGAAAATTGCATTAGAGCCAGCCCGTGCTGCTTCGTCAGCTAGCTCATTTCCACCGATACCCATATGTCCTGGTACCCAATGCAGGGATACCTTGTTATGAGTGGACAGGTCACAGAGGACCGAGAAGCATTCCCACACTAACAAAGAGGTGAATTTACACCTTGACAGTGATAGGAGAGCAGCCTGACTGTCAGAACAGATGCGGATAGTCGTATTTTGATATCCTTTGTCTATGCATAACTTGCAGCACAAGATAATGGCATAGACCTCAGCCTGAAAAACGGTGGCATAATTTCCCAGGGGAAAGTGAAGTTTGGTACCATCATTGGAGCAATAAATTCCTGCTCCTGATTTGGCACCAATCTTTGAACCATCAGTGTACCATATCAGGCATTTGCATTTAAGCCACCGAGGAGAATTAAACCATTCATCTCTAGTAGGAAAATGGATCTTGAAGGGCTTGTGAAAAGCGTATATTAGTGACATATAATCACTAGGCATAATAAAAGAGGATAAATCCATCACTTGTGAAACAAGATGTCCCCATGACAAGTGTTTAGAATTCTCTTTCCATAGGCCAAGGTACATAAGACGCTTTACGCCTATCTGAGCTTCAACTTCAATGCGTAAGTTCAATGGAAGAAGTCCAAGTAAGCTCTCTAGAGCAGCTGTAGGAGTGGTCCTGAGACATCCTGACAGGGCTACACAGACCATTCTTTGTAGTCTGTTAAGATTAGACCTTGCGGAGCTCAATCTAGTCCTTGAATACCAGACGATTGCGCCATAAGTGATGATAGGACTAATAATCATTGAGTATATCCAGTAGACTATTTTGGGGGACAGTCCCCATGTTCTACCAATAGCGTTTCTACAAGACCAGAAAATTCTCCTGGCCCTGTTGGTACAGTATTCAAGTTGAAGACCCCAATTTAGTTTGGAGTCAAAATAAACCCCGAGAAACTTGACTTTCTCCGTGAGTTCCAATCTATGGTCCAGGTAGTATACATTACCTAGATCAAGTTGCCTTTTCCGTGTGAAGGCTACATAACTTATCTTGGATGGATTGACAGATAAGCCTGATTTAAAACACCATCTAGCTACTTCTAGGAGTGCATTATTCATGATATCAGAGACAGTTTTTACATGTTTGCCTCTGACAACAATAACGCCATCATCAGCGTACCCGATACAGGGAATGCCAAGAGCAGTTAACCGAACTAACAGGGAGTCCATTACCATACACCATAGGATAGGGGACAGAACTCCTCCCTGGGGGCATCCTGCAGTTGCATGCACTTTCATGCTTGCACCCAATAGAGAGGAGCAAACATACCTAGAGGGTAGCAAATTCGCTATCCATCTGGTAATTATTGAGTTTATGCCTCTGTTCCTAAGTGCATTGATGATAGTCTCAATAGGAACTTTATCAAACGCACCTTCAATATCAATGAATACCGCGAGAGCCATCTCCTTATCTGTAATAGATTTCTCAAGCAGGTAGGAGAGCTCATACAGAGCGGTGTCTGTGGACTTGCCTGGTTGATAGGCATGCTGTGTGGAGGACAGTGGCCTTTCTATGAGCACAGTGTCTCTGAAGTGTCTGTCAATTAGCTTTTCTATCGCTTTCAACAGACAGGAAGTGAGTCTGATTGGTCTGAATAATTTAGCCTCAAAATAATTCTCCTTACCTGGTTTTGGTATGAAAATCACCCTGGTATTCCTCCAAGAGAGAGGTATATACCCAAATGCTATGCAGGATCGAAAAATCCTACATAGAATAGGGGCCAGTGTATTCACCCCCTGGATAAGCATCATTGGTATGATGTTGTCCATGCCTGGTGACTTGTAGGGCTTAAAAGACTTTATGGCCCATACAACCTTCTCATAGGAGACCACCATTTTGGCGGCCTCCCAGTCATTCCTACTACAAGTAGTTGTGGTAGTAATATGTAGATTTTCATTCTCCACAGGATGAGATCCAGGGAAGTGTGCTTCTAGTAATTCTTCAAGAGCCTCTTCCCCTGATTCACTGTATCTTCTCGTTTGTAAGACGGATGGCATTTAAACTGCAATTAAAGTCTTTAGTAAGAATTTATGCAATTTTTTGCGGTGGCAGAATTAGTATTAATGCCATCGCAGAAAGTCTTCCATGAGCGACGTTTAGATGCTCTGATCGCCTTGTTATAAGCAGTTAGAGCGTTTCTGTAGGACTGCCATTCACCAGATTTCTTTGCTCTGTTAAATAACTTCCTACATTTCTTACGTAATTTACTAAGCTCAGAAGACCACCAAGGAACTCTCCTTGGGGAGCTAGTAGACGTAACCTGACAAGAAATATGATATGAATCGAGTATGATCTGTTGCACTTGGTCAACAGTCCACTCTACATCATTAACATTATTGTACTTACCAGAGAAGCTCCCCATCTTCCTCTCCAGAGCTGCTCTAAAGGAACCCCAATCAGCTGTTCTAGGGTTCCTCCTTACGACCTTCAGTCCTGAGAGGCCTTTAATAGAGAAAGTAATTAGTTGGTGATCTGAGGAAGTGACTGCCCCAGATACCTTCCAATCATTAACGTAATCTACTGAATTAGAGTTACATAAAGTAAGGTCAATGACTTCCCTTCTGTTACATGTAACAAAAGTAGCTTCATTGCTTTTATTAAGGACATACAAATTAAAATGTAAAATATGTTCCATGAGTACATCCCCCCGCTGGGCACAATCACTGCTACCCCACACTGTGTGGTGAGCATTTGCATCACAGCCGAAGATGAATCTACAGCTTGAACTACAGTGGGCAATTAGGGCCCACGCTTAAGTGGGCAATTAGGGCTCATTAAGCTTAAAGCTAAAACACAAATTAAAAAGGACTGGCAACACTACTGGCATCATCACAAACCAAAATCAGGAGCATTAATCAGAGAAATTTCACCAGATGTCTCATTTAAGCCTTTGGAATGGAATAGACAGCTAATCCTCTTCTTGACAGAGCATGGCCCCTTTAAAGCATATCTAAAGCGATTCTGCCTGGCAACTGACAATACATGTGTCTGTGGAGGAGTAGGAACAATGTGGCATTATGCAATAGAATGTCCGCTTATCACATCCTACCACTTTAAACAACCAGAGCCAGAATTCCTCATAGCCTGGAAGAGATCCATCCATAAGAATCCAAAGTTGAAGCAGAAGGCAACAAACCTCATTAATTTTCTAGAAGAATACGAGGAAATCCTGAAATAATTTTCATGAAAAAATGACAAATTATGCAAAGTTGAGCAACAACCACAACTAAACTTGGCCAATTAACTCTGGATACTTTTTAATCAAATGCCCTAACAAATAGAACAATCGCTTTTTTTTCTTCATATTTCTTTTTATTTTCTTCTCTCTTTTGTTTCTATTTGCTATTTTTCCTCTCTTTTTTTTCTATCTGTCTCTTCTTCCTACCTTAACCATTAACCGATAAATGCCCTTTTAGGGGCATAGGCGTGGAGTTAAATGTTGGTGTGTTCTTACCAGAAAAGCTTTTTTATAGTAAAGCTTAGAACTTCAATTGAGTCTCTTTTCACACACTATGACAAAGAAATATGCATGTGCGTAACTCAAAATCAATTATTATTTTTATGTGTTGCAAGTGAAAAGCGAACAAATAAAACAAAAAAAAATAGAATTTTTCTGTTACTAAGGAATGAACAAGTCACGAGACATTACTGCAGGTATATAAACCAGTAATCATTTACAGAGGCTCCAACTTCTAATAATTGTTTCAGAAAATAACTATCCCATTGAGAGCAAATGTTATGTATTAATATTTTAAAAAGTATAATTAAATGAATTTCGTCCACCATTAACCGAGAGCAAATTAATCAGATATGTAGGGGAGAGTGGAATAAAAACAGGTTGTGGTGTAAAATCGGGTACGGATTTTATGCCACAGCCTGTTCAATTTTGGCGACATTAATTATGTTTTCTAGCGAAGAAACTTTAAATTTTATACTACTCATACTACTAAGAACTTACCATACTGAGGTAAGTTCTTGGGGTTGTTGATTTATTCACGGCATCTGTGTTGATAAGTTTGTTTTTACTAAGTCTAATGCTCTCTTGTTTTTAAGCTCATTTTATTTATTTGTCATTACAGTTACAAAAATTGCATTTGAAGTCGAGCTAATTAGAAGTTTACTAAAGAGTTATATCCTAAATGACAACTAGGATTTATTCCAATAGTAGTACTGTTCTGCTGCGTTTCTGTAACCCCTGTAATAACCTTTCTATAACCTCTGGTACGATAGCAGACGCGTTGCAGCTCCTCTTTAATTTGTTTCTTTGCTGGTCCCAACAAAGCTGCAATGCATGGAAGGAAAAAAACAACTACTATCAAGGCTGAACAAAGCTTTTATGGGTTCCAGGAAGATAGTATTTTCGGGCTCCTTTCCATAACACAAAAAGCCTTTTCGCGTTTGGTAGAACTTTTTAACAACCTATGTACAAAATTACAGTCTTTATTTAGATACAAATAAGTTCTCTACTATTTTTTTAAAACAAAACATTACTAAACACTAATGTAAAAAAATATTTATAGGACCCTTAGCTGCTCCTGGCTCTGGGTCAATTTCACCTCGTTTTAGTCTCCCTAACTTGAGTTGACTACACCACTTGAAAATTGCGAGAATATTTTTCTTAAATTGTCTTGCAAATAGAAATATCCGATAATTTTTCACTTAAATTATAGTATTTGTAAATTCCCCTTAGAGCAAACATATGTATCTGCTTTTGTCTCACAAGTGGGGTATGACTTGGTGGTTCGACTTTTTCTAGTCAAGCTCAGAGTAATTATTGCAATCACAAAACTTTAAACTTCAGTCATGGCTTACGATGATAGGCGATATGAAGTAACATTTACATTTCAATATCTTAAACGCAGACGTTATACGCATTCTTCTCTATTAAAACTGTATTCTGATTCAGAATCAATAAGTTCTCGGTACCAAACTCTATTTCCGGATACATCTGAACTAAAGCTGTTGTAAGAATTCTAAAGTTTAGTTTTCTGCTAAGAGAATAATGAGCTGATGCGTTCTGCGTATAGTCTTTTCTGTCAACAAATACCATAAAATTAGGCACTTCATTGTCAAGATTTAACTGACTATGCTTTTTCAAGCAAAAGTTGAGAAGTTAACTTTTGCAACCAACAGCACAATATTCTATTTTGCAAGCAATTATAGCAAAACTCTCCGTTTAAAGCGAAAATACTTATTTCTTAAACAGTATTTGAAATAATTTTATCTCATCTATAAATGATAAGAGCATCTTTACAAAGAATGCATCATTCCATATCGCTTTGTGTTATTAGCGTTTTAACCCACTGACAGTTCTGTACGTAAAAAGTACGTATGCTTTGTGTACAGAAAAGCCTTCGTAATTTACTTACAACCTTTTCTGTATAGCAAAACTAGTTTTCTATGTTATTAGAAATAGGGTATTTGGAGAGAGATATTTTTCCAATTTAGTCCATTTGCTTAACCGCTTTTTGGTTTAAACTCTCCGATCTTTCAAACTTCACTTCCGGTTTTTTGTAAAGCACTTTCATCGTTTCAAGTGCACTTGCCCTTCTTAACAGAAATTACCTCAACTCTTCCAAAGTTCATTTTATTCTTTCCTAGAGATTACTGTCCAGGATTTTTCAAAGTTAGCACCTGAAATTTGAATCGAATTTATTGCAGACAATCCTTCACCTATAATCGATAATTTCCAATATTGTAACAATTAAGGTTTCAGCAGTAACTCATTGTTACACACAGTAGAAATGAATAAATTGAGAAAAAGGATCGAAGTAAAAAGCTCACTTAAGAAAGTTGATAATTCCGTCTTTAGAAGATTAGTTAAAGCTGTCTGAGAAATCATTACAATTGTAGTCGAAGCTTGATTCAACTGCTAATTTTTGTTTCGAATTTTCAAAGAACTCCGGACTATCAAATCAATCAAAAAACTCAGTTTCATAAGCAGCGTATATTTCTTTGTAACAACTTACTATGATAACTTTGAAGCTATTCAAAACTTGTAAATTAAGTCCACTTAATTGTCTTAAACAGACATCGCAATGTATAACAATTTGAATTTGAACCTTCTAACAAAGATATAATGTCTCACCCATGTAATCTTAATTTTGATATAAATTAAGTTGCACATATTGTTTCTCAAGAAACTAACTCCCTTCGCTATTCGTCCGAAGCAGTGGAGGTGATTATGTTTACGAGGTTTAACTATAGTTATTAACTATAGCAAGGTAGTTCTTTCTTCAGACAAACTACACATTTTCTGACATACCATCTAAAATAACGAAACAAACTGGTCGAACGAGAACCCCGACGTACGCGGTCAACTAACAAGCAATTCACATTATAGTTTAAACAGTAAAATAATAGAACAAGTTACTTATTTAGGAAAACAGGAATACATCTTATAAATAATTTCTTACTTTAGGCTGAACACTTTAAAAGATAATAAAAACACCTTTCATTGACGCACCTTAAGTTTTCAATAACTATTTTCTAAATCTATTTAAACCACATTATGTGATTTTTTCTCAAATACCACATCTAATGTGAAGAACAAAAATAGAATTAACTTCATTGAAAGCGAAATTACATCAATTGATCAGAAATGTTAAAGAGATATATTTGACTAGAAATAAATCAAGCAGAATCATCAACTCAATTCTGATATCAATTAGAAATTTCAAATACCCCCGACATTAAATCCCTTTCAATGTTTGGAATTGATTAATAAGAAGTAAACAAAAGCAGTACTACCTCAATCATTTGCATAAGAATACTGCTTAGAGTACAAAAGCTAATATCACGGTATAAACTATTCGCTTCATGTTTACATAAGCAAACATAATGCAGATTATCTCACTATCCAAATTGAAAAGTGAGCAAATTTTAAGCTCGAGTATACCAAGACTCTGAAGCGTGGAAATTAATCATGAAATCAATACGCCCGAGATAGTTCGAATAATAGGGAATTCAAATGTTTTAATTTAAATACGATATATTTCAAGGAAAATTCTTAAAATGAGATACGCGGTCATGCGTGATCAATACAGAGCAGCTATGTAAGGTTTCGTTAAAATAAAAGATATTTAAAATAAGATAGTTCATGAATCGTTTCATAACTAGCTTTCCTCAAAAAATTATCTACTAATAAAAAAGATGAATTGTATTGACATAACGTTTAATTGTCACGTGCGTCATTTGTTACTCGTCATTTGTCACGTGCGTCATTGTGCGTCATGAGATACTCTAGTGATTTATGTATCTTCGGATTTGGATAAGTGATATGTCTCCTAAACAGCATTATTCAGTTATAAGGAGATAACTTTTTCCCCAAATTTACACAATGAGCTATATATNATAAAAGTGTTTATTTCCAATCGAATAAACAATAGTCAGAAAAAATAATTCCACCCACTGTTGTCTGGTTTCAAAATTCGCATTAAAAAAATCTCAATCAGGGAAACCAAAACAAAATGATTAAGCGTGTTCAATTACTATCTTTAACACTCAAAAGACAAAATTTTTAATGGCAGAATAGAAGAACGTCATTTTTCTCCAATGTGATGTATAATAAATACTGTTATAAAATGGTATATATTTATATATATATCGAAAGTTTCAGTTCTAAAATAAGTGAAA